ATTATACATGGTATGTGTATTTCATAAATGAGAATATCAAATTATTATTACTAATACAGTATTTTATAAATACGATATATAATATTATTCCAATCTTTAACTAATTAGTCAGTATATGACCAAATAAATCAAGAGTTGACCAAAAGTCAACCGTTGACCAAAAAGTCATCTGTTGACCAAAAAGTCAACTAGTTGACTAAAAGTTAACTTTACGGGTAAAATACTAGAATTCATTTTCTAAGCACATAGCATTCTGATTTTACCGATATACATAACCGTTTATGTGTATCCGGTAAAAAAATCATATATGTGTATCAATCATACGCATCACTCTATAAATTGTGTTTCATAGGATTCAAGTACGCGCTTGGTGTGACTCTAGGGCCCAACTCAAAAACTTAGTAGTGGATCATATCCACAAGTACAACAGAGGTGCTAGCTGCACATGAAGACTATCCGGGTATGAGTTGTGATAAAGGTCTACAAGATGCTTATCCAATTTTATCAAGACCACTCAGTGATAATGCCGTACAGTCCGATCTCTTCGTCAAGACATCTCAAACTATTGAGCCTAGGGAATGGAAAATTGTCAAACCCTAATTGCTCAATTAGTGTTTGTTGATATTAAACTCATAACCTATAAGATCAAACTGACACTTAGTTTATCTTATTTACCTCGGCCAAGGATTTCTAGGTTATAGTTATATCAAACAATCTTATGACATTAACCCCCTATACCGGGAGAGACGAATCTCATATTGGCATCTTAATATCTACTTATGCCTCGGGATGTACCCAACAAGAACCGTTATGCCTAACTCGATGAGAACTGTGATTAGGTAAAAGTCTAAGTACACCTATACTGACATGTAAGATATTGCACTCATTCCTCAGGTCAAGAGACTACTATATACTATATCACTTGAGAACTTCTATTTGACAGTTAAGTATAATTACCAACTAGATGTTCTCAGTGAGTCGTTCAGTCAACTCATTCATTAATGAGTCACCTGTATACTATATATTGATGTCTCACATTAATGATCCAAGAGATGGATTATCATCCTACCAAAGGAGAAATTGAGTATACACTAGTCTTTCCAAAGTGATGATGTCTCATTTCAACACTTCATTGACTAGGAACATTTTAGAATATACGTTAACGATAAATCAGATCTCTTCATTACGATCATATCCGAAATGTCTGATAGTCTGGTATCATTCTAAGGACTTTATCTGTATGAAAATACCAGATAAATCTGACCAAAATAGCATACTATTATTTTGAACAAGGATGTTATATTCATATAGGTCCTGTTACAATATACAATTATTGCCTGCAGGGCACATATATCTAACAAACTCCCACTTACACTAAGGCCAATCATTATAGTATCTAATACCCAATAGCTCAACAAGTTTTTCAAATTGTGTACGAGCAATTGCCTTTGTGATTGGATCTGCTATATTATCTTTTATGTCTACTCTTTCAATCTTGATCTCTTAGCGGTCAACTATCTCCCTGATCAAGTGATACTTCCTCAGAATATGTCTGGACTTATGGTGAGATTGGGGTTCCTTTGTCAGAGCTATTGTAGCATTATTATCACAGTATAAAGGTACTGGATCTTTAATGGTGGAAATAACTTCCAGCTCTGAAAGGAACTTCCTCATCCAGACAGCTTCTTTGGCTGCATCATTTGCTGCAATGTATTCGGCTTCCATAGTAGAGTCTGCTACTGTGTCCTGTTTGGAACTTTTCCAACTGACAGCTCCTCTATTGAGGGTAAAAACATATCCTAAAACAGATTTACTATCATCGATATCGCTCTAAAAGCTTGAGTTAGAAAAAGCCTCTATTTGTAGGTCACTTTTACCGTATATCAAAAATAACTCTTTAGTCCTTTTCAGGTACTTAAGTATATTTTTGACTGCTTTCCAGTGGAGATTGGTATCTACTTACCATACTAAGTGAATAAGCGATATCCGGTCTAGTACATAACATGGCATACATGATTGATCCTACTACCGAGACATAAGAAATTAGACTCATGCGATTCCTCTCTTCATCAGTCTGGGGAGACATCTTTTTAGAGAGGGAGATTCCAGGAGATGCAAGTACGAAACCTTTCTTGGAATTTTCCATGCTAAACCGTTTTTGCACTTTGCCAATGTATCTAGATTGAGATAATCCTAATATCCATTTAGATCTATCTCTATAAATCTGAATACCCAGTATACATGATGCTTCATCCAAATCTTTCATGGAAAATCTTTTTGATAGCCAAATTTTTACCGCTTGTAATGATGGTATGTCATTACCGATTAAGAGTATATTATCTACATACAAAATAAGAAACGATACTATACTCCCAATTATCCTTTTATACACACATGGTTCATCTGGATTTTTGATGAAACCAAACTCTTTGATAGCATCATCAAAACAGATGTTCCATCTCCGTGACGCTTGCTTCAGTCCATAAATGGATTTAAGCAACCTACATGCTTTTCCACTGCTCCCACTGACTACAAATCCCTCTGGTTGAGACATATATATGCACTCTTCTAAATCACCATTTAGAAGTGCAGTTTTGACATCCATTTGCCAGATCTCGTAGTCATAGTGAGTAGCTATAGCAAGTAGGATCCGAATAGATTTTAGTATAGCCACTGGAGAAAAGGTTTCATCGTAGTCCAAACCATGTCTTTGACGAAAACCTTTAGCTACCAGTCTAGCTTTAAAAGTCTCTACTTTCCCATCTACACCCATCTTTTTCTTAAACAACAATTTGCAACCTATGGGTATCACCCCTTTAGGAGTATTATCTAAGATCCATACTTTATTGGTGTACATAGAGTCTATTTCGGATTTCATTGTATCATGCCAAGCAACAGAGTCCCTACTTTGAGAGGCTTGCTGATAACTCAATGGTTCGTTATTATCTATGACGTGATCTAACATGCTACCTTCAATGAGAAAATCATATTGTCTCTTAGGTGCATGAGATCGCCACGGATACCTGTGGAGTGGTTGAGGTTCTTCTTGTATAACTGAATTTGCTAGTTCTACTAAATTATTAGTATTAATTTATATCTCTGAAATTTCTTCCAGTTGTATCATGCTCCTACTAATTTCTTTTTCAATCCAAGAAGGTAGCATACCGAGAAACAATTATCTTTTGTTCATCGATGTGGTAGAATTGATATCCATGGGAATTCCTTGTCGATGTGGTAGAATTGATATCCATGGGAATTCCTTGGATATCCTACAAGTTTACACAATACTGAACGTACCTCTAACTTTTTAGGATCTTGCTTTTTTATATAAGCATGACATCCCCAAATCTTAATATAATTAAGATGTGGTTTTATCCTATACCATATCTCATATGGAGGTTTAGGCACTGCTTTATTTGGAACCCTATTCAGTAAGTATGCTGTTGTTTCCAACGCATACCCCCAGAATAAAAAAGATAACTCAGCGTTACTCATCATAGAACGTACCATATCTAATACGGTACGATTCCTCCTTTCTGACCCGCCGTTAAGCTGTGGTGTAAAGGGTGGAGTAACCTGAGAGAGAATCCCATTATCTTTTAAAAAACCCAAGAATTCCAAGCTTAAGTATTCACCTCCTCGATCCGATCGAAGAATTTTAACTTTCTTACTCGTTTGGTTCTCTACTTTATTTTTATACTCGATAAATTTCTCAAATGCTTCAGACTTGTGTTTCATTAAAAACACATGTCCAAATCTTGAAAAATCATCAGTAAAAGTAATAAAGTTGGAGTAGCCACCTCTATCCATTGTAGACATAGAACCACATACATCACTATGTATCAGTCCTAAGAGTTCTGTAACTCTTGCTCCAGTTCTCGTAAATGGAGTCTTGGTCATTTTGCCTTTAAGACATGACTTGCAAGTATCATAAGACTCAAAGTCAAACGGATCTAAATATCCATGTTTATGTAGCTTGGCAAGTCTTTCTTTATTAATATGACCAAGTCTACAATGCCATAAGAAAGCATCGTTCATAACTGAGTGCTTTCTTTTATTAGCGTGATGAGTATTCAGAATTGTATTTTGATTAAGAATATAGATGCCATTACACAATGTTCAATAAGCAATCAACTTTTGATTATATATGATATTCATAACATTGTTCTCCAACTTGAACATATATCCATCTTTATCTAATAAAGATATGGATATTATATTACACATCATAGTTGGTACAAAATAGCAGCTATTCAAAATCAAAATGTTTCCATTTGGTAAAGCTAGATGAAAATCCCCAACTACAACTGCTGCAACTATTGCACCATTATCAACTTGTAGGGTCATCTCTCCAGCATCAAGCTTTCTATAACTTCTCAACCCCTGTAACAAATTACAGATGTGAGATCCTAATCCGGTATCTAATACCCAAGATGTAGGATTTAAGAAAAACAATTCTGAGTAACCAACGCACCTGAAGATGAAGCAACAACTTGCTTCTTCTTGATGAGTGAGGCTAGAAATTCAGGACAGTTTCTTTTCTAGTGTCTTGACTTGTGACAATGGAAGCATTCTACAGTCGTCATTTTTGCCTTCCCTTTGTCCTTCTTGACAACCTTCTTAACACCTTTCTTTGGTTTAGTAGTTTTCTTCATTCCCTTTTTCTTGGTAACCAGTTTGCTAGAAGTGGAAGAATATTTTCCTATAACCAAGGCTGCTGTTTGTCCCTTTTTCATAGAACTCTCCTCCCGTCTTAACAAATTAAGTAAGGCAGGAAGAGTGGGCTCCAGATCCATCATCCAGATCTGTGATATGAATCGGGAGTAGGCTGGTGTTAAGGACCGCAGAACAATATCTGTATTTCTATCTGCATCTAGGCATGCATTTAAAAGTTCAAGCTCATTGATATAGGCGATCATTTTGAGGACGTGGTCCCCAACAGAAGATCCCATAGTCATTTTCATCTGGAACAAATTCCTAGACGTCGCGTACTTCATCTGTCACGGTTGCTCGCCATACAGCTCTTCTGTATTACGGAATATGGATCTAACATCCATATTCTCATGTTGCCTCTGATGGACCAAATCCATAGAGGCAATTGTGAGACATTGAGCAAGTGAATAATCTCTATCCCACTTTATGCAGATTTCATTATCTGCTACAGTGGGTTCTGGGCCGAGAACGGGTTCCGGCGTTGTGAGGACATATGCTACTTTGTCATAAATTAGGGAAATTTTAACATTCCTCAACCAGTCTTTGTAGTTAGGACCGGTTAACTTATTCTGTTCTAGTATGAGTTTTAAGCCAGACATAATGGCCTGAAAGAGAGAAAAAAATATTTTAGCAAATGTTCAATATGTTCAATACATAAAATAGATTTGGTTCATTTTTATCTAAGTTATGCCTCCCACTATTTTTCGAGTCCCTCAAAATCTTTATAAGAGGTGATCGGAAAACAATCCCTTGTTTTCAAGTAGGATCAAGATCCAATTATCATTGAATGTATCAACCTTGACGATGGCCAACAAATCGATATACTCAATAATTGGTAGATAATTTTTGTCTTTTACATTCTTGTAATTCTTGATATGATTTTGCCCCTAGTCTTTTATGACCTTGACGATGACCAACAAATCATAAAATGCTAGTTAAGTTTGGACCCATCATTTCTTGACCGGCTTAAATTTAACTTATGCATACTCTTGATGAAGGCCAACAAAGTTGCATAACCAACTTAAGCTATCCTTATATCTTATATACAGATGAATACTACTTAGCCATAGAATAATATTACCTTGACGATAGCCAACAAACAAAGTATTTATAAGCTTAGTAGTATTCAACTGAAATGATGGAGGGCTACAGACGATTTCATAAATCTTTTACCGTAATCAAACTTGATATAGTTTAAAGATGCTTTATATTTATACTTGCAACAATTAAACTAGCCAGGTAAGTACAAGATTGGTGGGAGGGTTCCGAGATATTCACCGGGAATATTCATCGGACCTTAATTAAGTAACCACCGCTCTTTAAGACTATAGCGCGAAAGATTGGGCATCACCTCTAATCTTAAGTTGGGCATCACCCGATGAGCTATATCTCATAATTACTTTCCTAGACACTAGTTAAAAGTTTGTTCTAAATACATCTCTTTTAACTGCTTTAGGTTTATTTATCTTTCACACTAACGCTATGTTAATGTCGGTCTCACCACTCTATGGTTAATAAACTCCTATTGCCATGTCTCACAAAGTTTAAAAATGAGTTTTTATAACAAAAACTATTCTCTAGTGAGATAGAGATATAAACTTTACAGAATATAGTACCCAATTGTATTAACATCTACAATTGGGGCACAACCAACATATCATTATATGTAATGTAAAATTTATATAGAATGGTAGTGGACAACTAAAGAAAATAAAATGCAACTATACTAATTACATTTTAGCAAGCCATATGCAACTCCTTGCGGTGCTTGCTCCCTTGCAAACTCTGTATTATTACAATCATATAAACATAGGACGTGCAAGCCCCATTTATAATGGAAAAACCATCTCGTAGGATGGGTAATAATATTGCATTAAATGTAAAGAAAAAGCTATAAATAAAATAACTAAACTAAGCAACCATAACCCCCCACACCCGAACAAGGGCCTATACCCGTAGGCGTAGCCCATGATCGATGAGCAAGTGCCTAAACCTGTAGGCATAGGCCATGCTCGGGGAGGGAAGAGATTGTAAATAATTATTACATTTCTAACTTTATTACATAAATACAAAACATGCAAGAGAATAGTTGTCCACTACCATCCATAAACATAACATCCACGCAAGATGATAAATCATATAACATAATCAATATTAAGAAATATGCAGCTATCTAGTTATGCAACATATTGGAAACTAGATAGCATAAGGATTATCCAAACTCAAATATGACTAAGAAGCTTCTAACATACAACTACACTAGTTGTAATTAATTATTTTACAATTTATACAAGTGTTGTTTTACTCCTAAAAACTTATGAACCAAAAATCATATTTTCGAATGAACAACTTGTATAACTTATTACAAAATAACTTGAATTAATTAACTAGTTTCATCTAAACTAGAAATTAGAAGCAAGAATAAGGTCCTCCATGAGTTAGATGTACATGTTAAGATTCAATTAGATGGAACCATATCTCTGATATCATGAAGGAAATCGTGCTATGTCTACATGCATAATACACAGCGGAAGACATGTATGAAAAAAAATTACTAAGCATGTAGAGAGTATGAAATATTCATATGGACCGTCTAATTAAATCTAACATGATTCTTATTGTTAAGAGAGCATACAAGGTTTGAAAGTCATACTTTTGTAACGTGATTCGATAGTGAATCGGACAACCTTTAGCTTGCTCTCTTTGATGCAGAAAACTCCTCGTAGTGGATCTCCAACTCTTTAAGTAAACCCGAAAGCTATTTGATGCTGTTTGAGATGCGAGGCAAGATATCCACCCTGGGGTTCTTAAAATCCTACTACTTCCTCTTACTCAAAGATTGCTAGAGTTTAGTAAGAGGTATAGCTCTCTTGTTTTCTCTTATGGAAATTTAATTTTCATTAGCCTTTCATGAAGAGAGAGAGCTCATATTTATAGAGTGAAATGTGTTCATGACATAAATGACTCATCCTATGAGTCATGCAATGAATCATCAAAAATTAATGATTAATCAAGTGAGTCATGCAATAAATCATCTTATGAATCATTACATTTCAAAACCATGTGCTAATAAACCATGTGCTCAAACCATACCACTAAGTGACTCATCTCATAACTCATTATACATGGTATGTGTATTTCATAAATGAGAATACCAAATTATTATTACTAATACAGTATTTCATAAATATGGTATATAATATTATTCCAATCTTTAACTAATTAGTCACTATATGACCAAATAAATCAAGAGTTGACCAAAAGTCAACTGTTGACAAAAAAGTCAACTAGTTGACTAAAAGTTAACTTTATAGGAAAAAATACTAGAATTCATTTCCTAAGCACATAGCATTTCGATTTTACCGATATACATAACCGTTTATATGTATCCGATAAAAAAAAAAATCATATATGCGTATCAATCATACGCATCACCCTATAAATTGTGTTTCATAGGATTCAAGTACGCGCTTGGTGTGACTCTAGGGCCCAACTCAAAACTCGGTAGTGGATCAAATCCACAAGTACAACAGAGGTACTAGCTGTATATGAAGACTATCCGTGTATGAGTTGTGATAAAGGTCTATAAGATACTTATCCAATTTTATCAGGACCACTCAGTGATAATGTTGTACAGTCCGATCTCTTCGTCAAACCATGTCAAACTATTGAGCATAGGGTATGAAAAACTGTTAAACCCTAATTGCTCAATTAATGTTTGTTGATATTAAACTCATAACCTATAAGATCAAACTGACACTCAGTTTATCTTATTTACCTCGGCCAAGGATTTCTAGGTTATAGTTATATCAAACAATCTTATGACATTAACCCCCTATACTGGGAGAGACGAATCCCATATTGGCATCTTAATATCTACTTATGCATCGGGATATACCCAACAAGAACCGTTATGCATAACTCGATGAGAACTGTGGTTAGGTAAAAGTCTAAGTACACCTATACTGACATGTAAGATATTGCACTCATGTCTCAGGTCGAGAGACTACTATGTACTATATCACTTGAGAACTTCTATTTAACAATTAAGTATAATTACCAACTAGATGTTCTCAGTGAGTCGTTCAGTCAACTCATTCATTAATGAGTCACCTGTATACTATATATTGATGTCTCACATCAATGACCCAAGAGATGGATCATCATCCTACCAAAGGAGAAATAGAGTATACACTAGTCTTCCCAAAGTGATGATGTCTCATTTCAACACTTCATTGACTAGGAACATTTTAGAATATACATTAATGATAAATTAGATCTCTTTATTACGATCATATCCGAAATGTCTGATAGTCTGGTATCATTCTAAGTACTTTATCTATATGAAAATACTAGATAAATCTGACCAAAATAGCATACTATTATTTTGAACAAGGATGTTACATTTATATAGGTCCTGTTATAATATACAATTATTACCTACAGGGTACCTATATGTAACACATAGATCTCCTCATCGGCTTTCCAACGCATCTTGAACCACGTAATTCTGGGTTCGGACGGCAAAGATACGACAAAAACAGACGGGATGCATGAAAATAAGCCCTGAGCCAAACCAAGGCACCCAAAGGTGTCTCGACCAAGCCGAGACACCCAATGGTATCTGCAACCTGAAAAAGCTGATTTTGGCAGTTTAAAACTGTTTTTCGATTGTTAACTGCCTGGATTTGTTTCAACTGATCTGATATCATCCAAGAACGTGGTTAAGTGGTTACAACTGAGGATAAGAGGAAATCGACTGTTCTTATCCGAAAATAGGGGTCCCAAAGCCTATAAATATAGCCCCAGGGCCTTTATTTTTTCAGATCTGGAATTCTCGAGCGTTGGCGAAGCCCTGTTGAACTGAGGACTGAAGAGCCACGAATTTTAGAGAGGAGGAGGAGATATTAGCGAATTCTTTGGCATAAAGAAGAGGAGTTCGTCAGATCTGCAGCCTGGTTCTTTTCCTTAAGATCGCCCCGTTGCGGTGATCTCGAGAAGAGTGGTTATCTCACTGTTGCCGAGATAATTACTTCGGTTTCTTGATTCCTTTGCGAATCAATGAAGCTCCGGATCTGATCTGATCGTTTAGTGGTCTACAGATACTAACTTCCCCGTCACAGGCGAAGATCTCACACAAGCAGCGGGCGATAAACACCCGTTGTGCTGTTTGACGAGAGTTGTACTTTTTTTTTCATTGTGTAAAGGTCATATAAAAAGACTAACTTTTGTTTTTATTGTAACGTTTGAAGTTGTAATGAACAAAGCAATGAACAAATCGACTTTCTCCCCAAACACTATCTACATAATATCAATTGCCCCGGAGAGCATTCTATGGCCTAGTACCCAAATGATATTATGAGATCTACAAGGAAGTGTTCATTGTAGCACTGTACATTGTTGTGGCACCCAGTGTAGACAGTTAAAGTAAACAAGCTCTCTCCTGAACCAATACTCAATATAGATAACACGAGTCTTATACTTGAGCCCAACATGAGTCCAAGGAAGTGAACATCCATAGGATAAACACTTCAGATAGGCCTAAATAGGAGCCATGGTGAATCTCACCCAAGTCACAACGAAGCTCTCCCAAGTTATGGTGAAG